ATGGGGGAGCCACCGGCAGGGCGGGGGGGCCAAAGGAGCTCGTGTAGGGGGTTTTCTCACCTCTGTGCCCCAGATACGTCTCTGGAGCCGGGTATAAGGATGGGTTGGTACCGTGTAACTCTTAAAAGTGCTTTTTTGATGATGCTTTTTTGGTGGGTTCTTCACACGAAACACCAAACTTGCAGTCAGCCAGGGAGGACACCGCCGTAGCGGGGGAGAGTCACGGGTGGGACTGGACTTTTGGCCCTTCCACAGGGTCACCGCCTAAAGGCCTGGACTACTTCACCAGCGCTACAACCCCCTTCCCCGCCCCCAGCGTTGAAAACAGAAAGAGTGGGGTTGAGGAAAACGTGTTATTTAGGACAGTAAGACGAACCCCTTTGTCACACAGAGTGGCAAAGTATAGCATTCGTCTCGCAGGCGTACAATTGAAACAGATGGGTGGGCAGAGCTTAGAAGCGGAGGAAGCTAGCGAACTTTTTAGGCCCAAGGCCAATCTTAATATGGTGACTACATTCTTAATATACCTCTTTTAGAGGGACTGACTGAGGCGAGGTTTGTTTTACAACAGACAGCTCAAGGAGCCCATCCAACGTTACGGGAGAATCTTGTGGGGGTTTGTGAGCCTGGACCTAGTGTTAGTCACAGATGCTGTGAATGCTAGTGCTGCTTAAGAGCTGGACTTGAGGACCTGAAGAGGAATTTCAGTTTCTAAATCCCTTTGTGAATATAGCTTCTAGTTCTGCCAGCGTGATGAACACTTCTTCCAGCAAGGAGCTCTTGGACCAGTTGCTGAGTAAGGTCTCCAGATGGTTCAGCCCTATACCACAGAATGTCTCTTGGCTTCTTTGTTCCCTTTGGAGTCATACTACAGAGCGGCATGCTAGGGGGCTATGTTCTTTGCGGCTAATACCAATAAAATAGATGGCTGTGATTTAAATCAGCTGAAGCTCTTTTTAGTCTCAGCATGTGCGTTAGGCAGTACAATGATAAGTATTAATCCACCCTGGATGTTGTGAAGATGTAGATGGCTGTGAATAAGTCTTTTATCAATAATTAAGAGGCACAGTCCTTCTCAGAGACAGTTTTCTTTTAAGCTCCCAATGGAAGAAGCTGTATTTTTATCAGCCCTATAGATGACTTTTAATTGACTTTAACAACTGTGAGCACTTTATTTTCAGTATTACTGTAATGTAGTAATAAGTAAAAATCATTTTTAGTTAGTCTGCTATCTTCTGACAATCAATACATTGCATAAATTTTTTCAGCATATTTACTTTATTTCTTAGCTTTTTCAACACAAATTATGTTTGGTGGCTTCTTACTGGGCATTTCCTTAAACCTCTCTTTAAGAACTGTATGCCTTAAGTGAAGGTTTGGTTTATGTTTGCTTAGGTAATACTTCATTCTTTAAAATTAGACTCAGGAATCTTAATTATTTCACTACTCTGATACACTTATTTTGCACATGAAGTTTCTTGAATATGAGAATAACCCCCCCAAAACCTTGAATGAACAATAATGCATGCTCGTCATCCCACCTTGTGTATATCTGCCACTCCTGTATTGCAACAGATTGAATGTTTCATAATAAAAAGAGTTCTTATCCTCCTTTAAAGTGACAGAGATAATTTGGTCTTGGGATTATTATTTAAGTAGCTACTAAACATAATATACCTCAAAGCAGAGAGCACATGGAGAATGATGCAAATGAAAGCAGACGGCCTTCTCAAACTATTTGACTCTGAGTTCATAAAATGATTTATGAAAATGCGACTTATGGAGATGAATTACTGAAGGACCAGATGCATTAATTGTAAAAATTATGCCTGTGGAAATAAGGGCAAGAAAATAAAATTCTCCTACAAACCAAAGTACTACAAACATGCTGAAAATTGGAGCATCTTTATGCTAAAATATTCTACAGCATTCCTCGTAGAAAAACTATTTCAGGTAAATACCTAAAAAAATGAATCTATCAAGGATATTTAGGCAAATGGTATTAATATTGTTTCTAAGGGTGTCACAGATGCCATGAAGTAAAAAAAGTACTATTGTCCTCATCTTAGAGAGGAGGAACTGAAGAGAAAAAAATAGGAACACAGGGAATCTCTATTGAGCAAACAATTGAACCTGTCTTTTCTGACAGGTTGGCGCCAATCTATTCTTCCTCTCTAATATGCTGTCTACATCTGCATGCACTTGCAGTATAGTTTTGACATATATTGACGTAACTGAACTTGGAGTTGCTTATCATGCAAATCAATTACATTATCAGAGATGGCTCTTACCCAGAATTTTACAGTACTTAGCTTCCATTTCTTCATGTTGTGACAGGTGGCTGGCAAATTGGGCTTAAGAATGACTTAAGCTGTACATATTTTCTTTGCACAAGAGTTTTGTCTGAAATGATGGAGAATCAGGGTCTTACTGAGGAAACACCTTTAAAAAAGGTGAACATCAGCTCCTTGGTAGCTAACACAATTCAGAGAGGAAGCTGGTCTGACGTACAATGACGCCTGGCCATTTGTGAGAGAGCACAAAAGCTCCTCTGCATCTCTTTCTGGAGTTATGACATATGCTCCACTGGCGCTGCCAGACATTTAGGCCGGTTTACTGGTTGTATCGTTTCACTAAATTTACAACCCTACATATAATAGGCAAGAACATGGTATTTCAAGGTGGTATTATTACTGGGAATAATATATAATAATAATAACATGCATTAGGGCATATAAGTGCCGCTGTGTTGCGTATTTAGTCCCTCGGAGTATAAAAGGTAAAAGGCTTTATTACTAGTGATCAAAATGTATTTCTAAATGTATTTCTAAAAGTTCATTAAACTGCTGTCTTTGTAGTCTCCTTTTTTTGACGGCATCAGACTTTTGAAGTGCAGAATGATTAGTGCAGTCAGCCATACAATCAATCTTTTAAGTACTTGAATACCAAAATAACACTATAAATAAAATAGCCGTATAAATAAAAAACACTCAAATATTTTATTATTTCATTCCTTCTACCATGTTGACTAGGTAACTAGGGAGATTTAGTTTTTCTCTCACCTACCCATGACTTGCATCCATTTAAATGAATCTATCACTGAATAGCATTAGCAATATATGTATAGTAATATATATATAATATATAGAGCTGGAAAACTGTTTTATTGTGAACCACTGTCATTCTCTCTTACTCCTGCAGTTTCGTATAACTCTTAGCTGAGCATATTGCATGTTTGTTTTGTAGGGTCTGAAGTAGAGGTTGAGGGGTCATACTTTGGGTCACATTTAGCTGACCATAAAATTTCTTTACGAAAAATAGGCCACAGCAGGATTTTAGCAGGAATACATCTTTCACGCTACAGTCAGATGCAGACAGGAGGGCTAAAGGAGGTAAATGAATTAAGGACGTGGAAATACATTTTTTCTCTTCTTAGTGAAATACATTAAGCATAGGAAACAATAACCATCTGTTATGAGAAATGCTGGAGGTGAAAGGTTTCCAAGCTTCCTCCCAAGATAGAAGTTCAGGGTGGATCGCTCATGTCACATACAGTAAAGAACAGATAACTGCAAATGCAATTGAAGAAAACAAATATTTGACATCCTTATATTAAAAAAAAAACAAAACAATTCTTCAGCTAGCTGGGATAGAAAGGCATCTCTCCATTGATTCTGACAGAGATTTACTTGTTTATACATGGCTTATCCTGAGAAATTATTTCTTTGATAATTACTGGGTGTAGGAGATATTACACATAGAGATGGAGCTCATCAATAGAATAGATATTTAGCCTTCCTCAAAATATTTACAGGTTGGATATTGGTTCAACTTATGTCAGAGAAGAAGCTAGCTTTAATCTTCAGGTCCTGATATCTGAGAAGTCTGAGTCTGCTATTATAAATGGTAGACAATAGCAAGCTTTCCTGTGTTAGCCTAGTTCATGGAAGAGAAGAAGCTGCCTACCAGAGGAAAATGAAACTTTCGCCCCTTGACGGTGAATGGACATGAACTGTGATAGCAGATGAGCTTATTGCTACTGCTTATGTTTGTTTTAATTAAGTTAGAAATTCTAAATGCCAAAAATAATCAAAATCCTGCAAGAGAAGATGGAAGGGCTTGTTGTAGCAGCAATTTCTGTTTTCTAGTCTGAGCAGGTCAGCCCACGTGAAGTTTGCCACTTTACCCATGTGTTTGCCATTAAAGCTGCTCCAAGAAAGCAGGAAGCATTCTTTAGGGAGTCCAGTAGGGTGCACTAAGAGGCTATTACACATGCAGCTAGTGGGAAATTGCACTGAGATCAAACAACTTGGGGATCAGTTTGTTTCTGTTGTTTTTTTTTTTTTCTTTTAAAGGTGACTATATTAATTTGGAAAACAACAGTACCTTTCATGAATGATCAAAGCTGTCATGTAAGAAATTGCAGGAAACTTAACATATTCAAGCCATCACTGTGCAATATTGTCCTGCTTTCCTGAGAGAGGTGCTTTAAATTCAATTTCATTTTGAGAACACTCTACAATTGCAGTAGAACCATTCATAAGATGATTGAGGTCAGCGATTTTATCTCAGAGTAGGTCCCACTAATCGCTTGGTTTCATATGTTATTGGTTGTGAGGAAGATTCTAATTATGTTTCTACCCTGTGAAGGACTGGTTAATACAAAGAAATCTCATCTCCTTTTATGATGTGTTCAGCCTAGCAGTTACTTTTGTTCTAAATTGGGCCTGGCAGCCTCTAGGGTGAATGATTGACACGTCAATGTGTTAACAGAAGCCAGAACCAATTCTCTTGTCTGACACCTCCTCTCCTCCTCTGAATATTAATGACGAGCGACCCAGCTGAATGAATGAAAAGTGCACGTGTCCCTCGTGGCCCTGTGCAGATGCTCAGAGATGACAACAGGACTTGCCCAGGAGAGGACACAAAACCATAAAGCCATCTGGTATTATGTAGTGAGCTTAATCTGTTCACTGGTTTGGCCAAATGCTAGTAAATCAAAAGTTGACAGGAAAGAATTCATAATATTTATGCTTAAAATATAGTCAAAGCAACACAAAGAAAAATAGCATTCCTAGATGAATTTCTAGATGAATACAGAGGGCATAGCTCAGATTTGGAGATGGGAAGATGGGCAAGAAAAGTATAAACTTGTTTTAGTTAAATAAAAAGAGTCATGAACTAGTATTTTGCTTTAATGGTACCTTCAGTTACCTTATGATTGCTTTCAAATAACACAGGGTATTGGTGATCACAAAAGGTTTTTATAGTACTTTAGTTCAATTCCCTAAAACACCCAAATGAGCCAATCTTGGAAGCCATTGCAGTATAATACCCAATCACTCAATATTGATCAGCTCAAAACTGAAATCTGGTTGAATCGGGTGTACTGTTCTTTCATAGTCTGGATTATGTGATATTTATTGTTATATTACAGATTGCTAGTATTAAATGTACAGTGAGATTGTTAGGACTAAGAGCTATAACGCATAATCAGCGAGCAGATTTCTTTATTCCATCATCTTAGACACCTGCATTTTATTTATTCCTTCAATAAAATGTATTCCCCTAAATAGAGTACCATTAAAGATTTCGCGCTTAAATATTTGCAATATCTCAGTCAGCAATTCTGCAACAATGGGCAACCAGAATAAAATGTATACTAACATAAAATAGATTATTTCTCATTGTGAGGTCTCTATCCAACAGACAGAAAAAATATCAGTATATTTTCTCACCACTCTTTGCATATCATATCTTTTATCTCCACCACAGCAAAAATACAACCTGTTTTCTTCTTCAGTGTCTTTCTCATTTTTTGGTGACACTGTGATTGAATACCCTTTGTATTTTCACAGTATCTCAAGGATTGGCAATTCTTT